ACGGATTTTCAACAAAAGCGTGCGCGCGCGCTCTTGCGTCGTCGTCGTCGTCGTAGTCGTCGTCGCCGTCCTCCCTCCTCCCGCGTCGTCGTCGTCGCCTACGTCGTCCTCTGTCATTCCTCGTGTTCGTCGTCGTCGTCCTCTTTGGCGTCGTGGTTGTTTCCGTCGTCGTTGTCGCCGTGGTCGTCCTTCCTCCTCCTTCGTCGTCGTCGTCGTCCGTCGTCGGCGTCTCGCCGTCGTCCCTCCCATGTCGTCGTCGTCTTGGCGTCGTCGTCGTTGTCGTCGTCGTCTTCCCTCCTCCCTCGTCGTTGTCGTCGTCGGCGTCGCTGTGTCCCTCCTCCTTCTTCGTCGTTCGCGTCGTCGCCGTCCTCCCTCCTCCCTCGTCGTTGTCGTCGTTGTCGTCGTTGTCGCCCTCGTCGTTTTTCCTCCTCCCTCGTCGTCGTCTTCGTTGGTATCGTCGTCTTCGTCGTCGTCGGCGTCGGCGTCGTTGTCGTCGTCGAAGGCGTCGGAGACGTCGTCGTAATCGCTGTCGCCGGTGTCGTCGCAGTCGGTCTTTAGAGGTTTTGCAAAACAAGTTGCGGGTGGGTGTGTGGGATGTTTGCAAGAGCACGGGATGTGTCACATCATGTGTAAAAATCAATCCTCCTTTTCTTTAAAGAAAAAATGAACTCTACCCCCCCCGGACTTATAGGTTCCCCCTGGGATAATACGATTTCATATATATATATATATATATATATTGGACACTCGTCCATCCGAAATATATAATCGTACCATCCCAGCTAGGCCCCCCCTGAGGTTCCCTTGTAAAAAACACGATGCGGTGACATGTCTTGCTCTAACATAGCACTTTTCGCGAATCCCTTGGAAAAAAAGGGAACGAAGTGCACACGCGCGCGTCGTCGCGCGCGCATGCCGAAATCCTTCAAAAACCTTCGGTGCGGGAAGGAGTTCGCAAGTGATTTCCAAAAAAACATACAAAAACACATGGTTTCGTGACACTGATGTGCTAAAAAAGCTTCCGCGAAAGCTCTTGCGAAATCTTACGGAAACCATGGGTTTTCAAGATTTTCACAACATGCTACCAAACGGGCTTCGCGCGCGCATGTCGAAATCTGTCGAACGCCCTTGCGCGTGTGCCGTCGCGAGAATCCTATGCAACAAATGGGACGAAGTGCAGACGCGCGCGGCGTCGCGCGCGTATGCCGAAATCCTTCACAAACCTCCGGTTTCGGAAGGATGTCAAAATCGTGTGTCCAAACAACCTACAAAAACACAAGGTTTCGCAACACGGATTTTCAACAAAAGCGTGCGCGCGCGCTCTTGCGTCGTCGTCGTCGTCGTCCTCCCTCCTCCCTCGTCGTCGTCGTCGTCGTCGTCGCCGTCGTCGTCTTCTGTCTTTCCTCGTCGTCGTCGTCGTCTTGGCGTCGTCGTCGCTTCCGTCGTCGTTGTCGCCGTGGTCGGCCTTCCTCCCTCGTCGTCTTCGTCGGCGTCTCGTCGTTGTCCCTCCTATGTCGTCGCCGTCGTCATCGTCGTCGTCGTCGTGGTCTCCACTCCTCCCTCGTCGTTATCCTCCTCCCTCGTCGTCGTCGTCGTCCGTCGTCGGCGTCTCGCCGTCGTCCCTCCTATTTCGTCGCCGTCGCCGTCGTCGTCGTGTCGTCGTCGTCGTCGTTGTCGTCGTCGTCTTCCCTCCTCCCTCGTCGTTGTCGTCGTCGGCGTCGCCGTCCCTCCTCCTTCTTCGTCGTTCGCGTCGTCGCCGTCTTCCCTCCTCCATCGTCGTTGTCGTCGTTGTCGCCGTCGTCGTTTTTTCTCCTCCCTCGTCGTAGTCTCCGTTGGCGACGTCGTCGTCGTCGTCGGCGTCGGCGTCGGCGTCGTCGTCGTCTTCGTCGACGTCGACGTCGGCGGTGTCGTCGTAGTCGGTGTCTGCGGCGCCGTCGTCGTCGTTGTCGCTGTCGTCGTCGGCGTCGGTGCCGTGGCCAAGTGCCATGTGGTACCTATCGTCACGGTCTTGTCTTAAGAAGTCTTGCGACCAAGTTGCGGGTGGGAGGGTGGGATGCTTGCACGAGCAGTAGAGAGGACAGCTTCAAGACGGTCAAAGTGAATTGCACCACATAGATTGCACCACATAGATTGATCAACATACATTGCACAACATCTGTTCACCACGCGGATCGCACCACATACTGCACCATATCTTGCACCACATAGCTTGCACCACATATACATATATATACTGATGTGTTGCACCACACAGATTGCAGCAGATAGATTATACCACATAGATTACACCAGGTATACTGTGCTACATACCATGTTAAAACACACTGTTTGGGGTTCACGCTGGCTAACATTAAACAACTGGCCGTCGGGGTTCATTCGTGTCTACGGAGGAGTGGCAAATATCAAGTATGCCAAATAGCGAGCACCATTTAAGAATATGATGACTATCTGTCAGGTGGCTATAACAACACATGACCTCCTGAGGGGTTGCCCCTGCTTGAGCGGAAGCAGGCAAACATGTCAGATCATCCCGTTGCCTTAATGGCCTCCATCCCTTGCCAGTGCGACGCGGCAGTGGCCACTCGCCTCAGATCGGCATTCACGCTTTCGCGTGCACTACGAGATCGCCTAGATCGTATCGTGCACAGCCTTGGTTGTGCCTACTCCAGCGCCCTCGGAAACATTGCCGCGGCGAGCCCCGAAATCGGTGGCGCGGACGCATGTGGACACCGCCATTGGGGCCCTCGGTGGAGCTCCCCATGGGGCCACGAAGCGCTGTCCTGGGTAGGGAAGACGCATGCGAACTGCGCCATTGGAACCTTCGCTGGAGTTCCTTATGGGGCCACGAAACGCTGTCATGGGTGGGGGAGACGCATGCGAACTGCGACATTGGGACCTTCGTTGGAGTTCCTTACGGGGCCACGCAACGCTGTCGTGGGTGGGGGAGACGCATGCGAACTGCGTCACTGCCGCCTTCGGTGGAGCCCAGTGGCCACTCCAGCCAGCTGTCGTCGACACGCATGCGGTGTGCGCTGCGTGCGTCTGCTGGGCCGGCCGACGCCTCTCGTGCGCCAGTCCTAGCGCACCTGCTGGGGCCGCAGCGGCGCTCTCGATCCTGCTGGCCAAGCTCCCGGCCCTTGCCTTGGGCTGTCCCTTCCGCCAGGGGGAATAGCAACCCCTCTCGCCATCGACACGCGCGAGGAGGAGGAGGAGGAGGAGGAGGAGGAGGAGGAGGAGGAGGAGGGGGGAGGAGGAGGAGGAGGAGGAGAGGAGAAGGACGAGGAGGAGGAGGAGGAGGAGGAGGAGGAGGAGAGGAGGAGGGAGGAGGACGGGGGGGGAAGTGGAGGAGGAGGGGGTGAGAGGAGGAGGAGGAGGAGGAGGAGGAGGAGGAGGAGGAGGAGGAGGAGGAGGAGGAGGAGGAGAGGAGGTCTCCCTGGTCGCCGAGGCATACTACGCGCGCGAGAAGCACCCGCACGGCGGAGCAGTCCACCCGCCCGTGGCCGTGGGCGCCTTGTGGCTGGGCGGGAGCGGGGCGTGCTTCCGCGCCCCCCCCCTTCTCGCCACGTGGGCACGTGGGGTGCCGTCACCAGCTGCCAACGGCAGCGGAGCGCAGCGCTGACCCCCCGACCGTGATCGTCAGTCGTCAGTCGTCGTCGTCGTAACCGTCGCCGTCGCCGTCGCCGTCGCCGTCGGCGTACCCGTCGCTGTCGCCGCCCGTCGTCGTCGTCGAACGTCCTCGGCCGCCATCGTCGTCGCCGTCGCCGCCGCCCTCGCCGTCGACGGCGCAATTCCCGTCGGCGTCGCCGTCGCCGTCGCCGTCGTCGTCGTCGTCGTCGTCGGTGTCGTGAACGTCGTCGTCGTCGATCGTCGTCATCGTCAACGTCAGCTGTCGCCGCCGCCACCGTGGTCGCCATCGTCAACGTCAGCTGTCGTCGTGGTCGTCAGTCCCAGTCGCCGTCGCCGTCGTCGTCGCCGTCGGCAGCGCCGATGCCGTCGTCGTCTCCGTCGTCGTCGTCGTTGTCGTGAACGTCGTCGTCGTCGTCGTCGCCGTCGTCGTCGTCGGTCGCCGTCGCCGCCGCCGTCGCCGTCGTTGTCGTCGTCGACGTCGCCGCCGTTGTCGTCGTTGTCGTCGTGGTCGTCATCGTCGTCGTCAGTTCCAGTCGCCGTCGCCGTCGTCGGCGCCGTCGGCAACGCCGATGCCGTCGTCGTCTCCGTCGTCGTCGTTGTCGTGAACGTAGTCGTCGTCGTCGTCGCCGTCGTCGTCGTCGTCGCCGTCGTCGTCGTGGGCGAAATCGTCGTCGTTGTCACCAGTCGCCGTCGTCGTCGTCGTCGTCGTCGTCGTTGGTGTCGTCGTCGTCGTCGATCGTCGTCATCGTCAACGTCAGCCGTCGCCGTCGTCGTCGTCGCCGCCGCCGCCGTCACCGTCGTCGTCGTCGTCAATTTTGGTGTCGTCGTCGTGGCCGCCGCCGTCGCCGTCTCCTTCGCTGTTGCCGTCGCCGTCGTCGTGATCGTGGCCGTAATCGTCGACGTCGGTGTCGTCGTCGTCGATCGTCGTCGCCGTCGTTAGCGCCACTGTTGATGTCGTCGTCGTCGTCATGACACTCGAAACCGTCGTAGTCGTCGAGGTGACGTCGTCGTCGTCGTCGCCGTCGTCGCAGTCGTCGTCGTCGGCGTCGTCGTCGTCGCCGTCAGTCGCCGCCGTCGTCGTCGCCGTCGCCCTGGCCGTCGCCGTCGCTGTCGCCGTCGCCAACGTCGCCGTCATCCTCGCCGAGGCCGTCGCCGCCGCCGTCGGAGTCGCCGTCGCCGTCGACGACGTCGTCGGCCGTCCTCGGCCGCCAACGTTGTCGTCGGCCGACATCGTCGGCTGTCATCGCCGTCGTCGTCGCTGTCGGTCGCCGCTAGCGCCGTCGCCGCCGCCGTCGCCGATGGCCGCCGCCGTCGCCGTTGCCGGTCTGTCCTCCGCGCGGCGCGCCGCGCGGGCCGCGCGCGCGCGCCATGGCCTGCGAGCTGCCTCCGAATGACGTGGCCGTCCACTGGGGCGGCTGCTGCTCCGCGCTCCTGGCGCGGATCACCTGGCCGCCCCGCCGTGCGCAACGTCAGCGTCGCAGCGTCGTAAGCCGTCGGTCGGTCATCGTCGTCGCCGTCGGTGGTCGGTCGCCGTCGTCGTGAAGCGTCGTCCGTCCTGGGTTGTCGCGGTCGTCGGCGGCTAGGGGCGAGGAGCGGAGAGCGGGGCGGGAGGAGGGCGGGGAGTGGCGCCGAGGAGAGGGCAGAGCAGGAGGCAGGGACGGGGAGGGGGAGAGGAAGCAGGAAGGAGGTAGGACTCAGGAGAGAGGGAGGAGGAGAAGGAGGAGGAGAAGGAACAGGCCAGCTGCCACAGGCCAGCTGTCATGCACGAGCCAGCCCGACCATGTCAGTCCGACAGCGCAGCCGTCCTCTGCGCCATGACCTTCCAGCCTTAGAAGGTGCTGGGGGATTGGGGCAGGCAGCGGGGCTTTGCGTGGAGGAGTGGGAGTCGGAAAGGCTCAGCAAGTTTCAAACGTAGATCTGCACAGCTCATCCTGAACCAACAAACACTGATCTGGCCAGCCTACCAGAGCCTTGCCGATAGCTTAGCGTTCTGCCAAAACGCTTAAGCTAGGTACGTATGTGCTTAAGATCCAAGGCCCACAAACCCAGTTCAATACATGTTAGCCGCCACATGCCAACCGTCCTGTACGAGCCATCCTTAGTATCGCCATTACCTTCCTACCTATCACTTTTACGCCCTGACCCGCTCGCAAATCGCAGCACTTGTCCGTCTTACAGATGCTTGGTGTATGCTGCAATTCTAGCACGTCGGAAAAGGAATGCCAGATGATTCATCACACAGCACACAGCCAACATGCTAGCCTATGTCGCCTGCTCTGTCTTGTTCTCTTCCCGCGCTTCATACAAGTTGCTGTCGGCCTTGATAACTAAGGCGGGATATGGGGACGGAGACGTTGGCGGGTGGAGCGGTACTCGGAGGCACCCATTCTTGGGTCTCTGTGTGCAGGCGCTCCCCGTTCAGGGACCCTGAGCCCAAGAGCCACATCCTGAGGGCCCTCACTTACCTGAAGCTTCTTTCACTGTTCCGTCTTACTGACGTTTGCTGCATGCTGCCATGTTGGCCGGTAGGCGAAGAGCCCCATGATTATTCTCACTGTGGACTTCCGTCAGCAGCACGCTGTAGTTTACTCTTACTCTGCCCAACTGCACGCAGCCAACGTGATATCGCATGTCGCTTGCTCTGTCTTTTCTCTTGCCGCACATCACACACTGGTTACTCCCACCCTTTATCACTCTGGAGGGTGGGGTCGGATACTTGGGAGGACGGGGGACAAGGGTAATTCCAGGCATTGCAGCCCTACTCACTGTTTCGAACCAACCTGCACTCACCTCTGCACGGTGACGGCACCACGAGGCAGGACGCCTACTGTTGCACGTGCAGCTCGATCCCTCTTTGTTCGGTTCGTTCATCGAATTCGTGATTGATGCATTCGGTGTTCGTTCCTCTCTCTACCTCACCGCCTAGCGGGCGCATACTCTGTGCCCTCGAAGGCCCACGGGCTGTCTCTGTATCTCTTGTGCCAATCCGTTTTCTGCTGCGCCCGACGGGCGCAAATCGTTCGCTTGCAGGCCTCATTCGGCTATCTTGGTTGCTTCCGCACGCCACACAGACGCAGAGATCACTCGATCCATGTCCGAGCAACGTCACAACAGAACGCAGCAGCATGGGAATGGGGGAGGAGGGAGGGGTTGTGACAGAGGGCGAGGAGGGAGGGAGGGAGGAGGCACGTGCTCGACCTCCCCCTAGCCCTCGCCCCTCCGTGGCAGACTTGATGGTACCCGAAGCGTCGGCACTGGCCTCGGCGCCGGAGTCGGCCCTCGCCCTCACGCTGTACAGGTGGGTCCTGTCCACAGGCGACACGGAGCGCGTGGACCTCACAGCTGCATGCAGGAGGGGCTCGTCGTCGTCATCCTCCCCCTCGTTTCCTCCTCCTCCTCCTCCTCCTCCTCCTCCTCCTCTCCCTCCTCTTCCTCCTCTTCCTCCTCCGCTTCCTCCTCCTCATCCTGCTTCTCCTCCTCTTCCTGCTCTTCCTCTTCTTCATCCGCCTCCTCCTCCTCCTCCTCCTCCTCCTGCTCCTTTCCCATCCCTAGGTGAGAATCAAAGATAAGGGGGAAATGGCCAAGGGGGAACATCGACCTTGAATCAACAATCCATCGACGATGGATCGGTGATGGCCCCCGATCGCGAATCCGCACGCTCCTGGGCGGGGGGGCCATCCGGCCCACATCGACATGGGCGAGTGGGGCCCGATGCGTTCCGCACTGCGCCAATCCCCCCCTCCAAAACTTTGCACCTCCCAGACGGGGGGCGGGGAACAGCGAGAGCAGCAGCCGAAGAGGGGGAGACTGCGGTCGGCAACTGTGGCTTAGCGCGTCGCGGTGGCGGCCCCGGCGAGACGCTATGCCATGCGAGCGGAAGCGGACAGCGTGCTGCTCCGCTCCGCGGGGCGGGAGGCTGGCAAAGGCTCCAGGCATCTACGCCCGGGAACTGGGAAAGGACAGCGCGTCGCGCCGAAGCGTGGTGCGCCAGAGCCCGCGGCGCGACGCGCTGCGACACGGTTCCTGACCGCTTCCCCCTCCCCAGAGCCGCTCCCCCCCGCCCCCGATGGCGGGCGGGAAGCGGCGAGGACGGCGGCAACAGGGGTGCGGGGGGGCCACGGTCGGGAACGTTGGCTCCCCACCTCTGAACCCCTCCCCCCCTGACGCTGTCCCTCCCTGAGGGTGGGCGGCAAGCAGCGAGGCCAGCAGCATGTGAGGGGGGAGCCACAGTCGGGGACCTTGGCCTCCCTCTCTGGGCAGAAGGGGAGAGGGCAGGGGGCCGATGAACTCCCCACCTGACTCCCTCCCCGAAGGCCAGAATGACAACGATCGGGTTAGGAGGATTGGTTTGGGAAGGTACGGGACGATACTGGATTCAGAGCACGCTCGACATTCGCGGTAATGCGGACGAGCCGGTCCTCTCTCCCAACCTCATCCTCCGAACCTGCGAAATCCGGATCTATGACAGCGTGACATCAATCAAGATCACGAGGCCCTCCGACGGCCAAACGGAAAATCACTCGGGGGCACCCTCCCCCAGGATGCACAAGAACATTAGGGGTCCCTGCCCGACCCGACCTCGATCTTGTACCTCGGTCCGGCAGCAACGTTGCCCCTCACTGAGGGCGGGCGGGGAGCAGCGAGGGGGGAGGGGCAGCTGCACGAGGGGGGCAGCGGGAGCTAAGGCGTGCGGCAGGGCTGGGTGGCAGGAGAGGGGCCTGGCGGGCGTCCAAGGAGCTGTGGGTGGAGGGGCGAATAGTAACTGTAGGAGTAGTAGTGATACTCGTAATAATAATAATGATAATAATAATAAGAATAAAAATACAACTACTCGTAGTATTTGTAGTGGTAGTAGTAGTAGTAGTAGTAGTAGTAGTAGTAGTAGTAGTAGTAGTAGTAGTAGTAGTAGTAGTAGTAGTAGTTATAGTAATAGTAGTCGTAGTAGTACTACTACTAGTAATAAAACAAAGTTGTAATAGTTGAGTAGTACCAGATGAAAAAAACGTATCAGTAGTCGTAGTCGTAGTCGTAGTCGCAGTTGGAGTCGTAGTACTAATAGCACTGGTAGTACTAACGATAGTGGCCGTAGTCGTCATAGTAGGCGTCGTAGAAGAAAGAATAATAATAATAGTAATCGTAATATCAAAAATAGTAACAGCGGTAATACTAAAAATAGTAGTGTTTGGAACAGTCGTACTAGTGGTCGTAGTAATAGTAGCAGAGATAATACTAGTAGACGTTGTAGTAATGCTCGCAATCGAAGTCGTAGTCGTAGTACTAAACGTAATGATAGTAGTTGTAGTAATCGTAATAGTAGAAGTAGTGGTTGTTGTAGTGATAGTGGTCGGAGTCGTAGTACTAGACGAAATAGTAGTAATGATTTCCGTTGTAGTAGCGGCAGTCGCCGAAGCCGTAGCAGTAAGCGTAATAGCGACAAATAAAAATATGCGTAGCCGTAGCAGTATGAATAGTAATTGTAGTAGTAGTAGTAGTAGAAGTGCTAGTAGTAGTACACGTAGTAGTAGTAATAGTAATAGTAGTAGTAGTAGTAGTAGTAGTAGTAGTAGTAGTACTGAGAGTCGTCGTACAATAAAAATCGTCGTCGTCACCGTTATTACCGTCGTAGTAATACGAGTAGTGGAAGTAGTACGATCAATAGAAGTAGTAGTACTAGTAGTCGTAGTAGGTGTACTGGTCGCAGTACAGCTGGTAGGTGTACTACTAGAAGTAGTTGTAGTTGTTGTAATATTCACAGTATTAGTAATTCGAAGTGGAACTCGTAGTACCAGACGTACTAGTAATACGAATAGTACAGACAGGAGTGGTATTAGTACAAGTAGTAGTACTAGAAGTAAAGATAGTAGTAGTAGTAGTAGTAGTAGTAGTAGTGGCTGTAGTAGTAGTAGTAGTAGTAATAGTAGAAAGAACAGTATTGACAACAATAGTAACAACCGTAGGCGCAGTAGTAGTCGTACTCGTCGTAGTAGCACTAAAACTAAAAGTAACAGTAATAGTCGCAATAATGATCAACATCGTAAGTAGTACAAGTGGTGAAGGTCGTACTCGTAATACAAATAGTACTAGCAGTACTCACAGTCGAAGAATTGCTAAACATGGGTAGTGATCGTGGTCGGGAAATGAACAGTCGTAGTAGTAGCCGCTTTCGCTGTAGTAGCAGAAGTAACAGCAGTAGCAGTAGTAGCCGCAATACTGGTAGTGGTATTCGTAATCGCACGGGTATTATTCGTATCAGTAGTGGTAGCCGTTGTAGTAGTAAAGTCGTCGTCGCTATCGTTGTACTAGTACTGGTAGGGGTAGATGTCGTCGAATTCGTAATCGTGGAAAGAGTAGTCCTAGTGGTAGTAGTAGTAGCTGTAGTAGCGGTAGTAGTAATAGTAAAGGTAGTTGTCGTAGTGGTAGTAGCAGTAGTTGTCGGGACACTACTAGTACTAGTAATAGTAGGGGTGATAGTAGTAGCCGTAGCCGGTGTCGCAGATGTAGTAGTTATCATTGTCACCGCAATAGTAGTAGTAGTAGTAGTAGTAGTAGTAGTAGTAGTAGTAGTAGTAGTAGTAGTAGTAGTAGTAGTAGTAGTAGTAGTAGTAGTAGTAGTGTAAGTAGTAGTAGTAGTAGTAGTAGTAGTAGTAGTAGTCGTAGTAGTAGTAGTAGTAGTAGTAGCAGTAGCAGTAGTAATAATAGTGATAGCCGGGGTACTCGCAGTAGTAGTAGTCGTAGTCGTAATGGCAGTGGTCGCTGCAATCGAAGTAGAAGTAGTCGTAGCAGCAAAGGTAAAAGTAAGGGTATAAAAGTAGTCGTAGTGGTACTTGTATACATAGTACTGCCAGCAATCGCGTAATAAGTGAGCGTAGCAGCAGAAGTACTACTTTTAGTAGTGGCAATAGTAGCGCTCGTAGTGGTAATAGTAGTAGTAGTAGTAGTAGTAGTAGTAGTAGTAGTAGTAGTAGTAATAGTAGTAGTAGTAGTTGTTGTTGTTGTTGTATCCGTAGAAGATGCAGTAGTAGTGGCAGTAGAAGCAGGAGTCGTGGCAGTAGAAATCGTGATGACAACAATCGTAGCAGTAGCAGTGATCGTACTAGTCGTTGTAGTAGTCGTCGTAGCGATAATATAATTCGTGGCAATCTTACTCGTAGCAGGAGCCCGAGTAATAGGAATAATCCGGGCAATATCAAAAACATGCCATTCAAAATTGGTAGACGGTAGCGAGTTCCCAAGTGCAAGAAAATAGCACTTCGTGGAAATAGTAGTGGGTCACGAATAGCCGGCAATTGGTGGGTAGCTGGTAGTAGGTAGTAGTAGTCGTAACAAAGAATACTGGCATCAGCGGATTTTCACATTATCAGTAGATTGTCAGCTAAAAAGCAGTCGGACTACTGAATATCTTACTAAAGTATCAGTATCTCATAGACTATCTATCATGAATAATAAAAGACTATCGGATGTATCTCATACGAGTATAGTATTAGTATTAGTAGACTAGTATATTATTATATAATATACTAGTCTACTAGGATTATACTATATAAATATAGGATAATCCTAGGATTCTACTAGGATATCTACTAGGATTCTATAAATATAATAAATATACTAGGATTCTACTAGTATATTTATTATATATATAATATATATAGATAGTTCGCTATATACATAGGATATGTATCTATCTCATATAGTTATTATACTAGAGGATATCATTATCTAGTCTATCATAGTATTAGTAGACTAATCTCATATATATAGTATCTCATAGACTATCTCAATAATACTAGAATATACCTTTCATACTACTAACAGAAGAAGTAGATGAAAGGTATTCTATATAGAAAGCAGTCGGACTAGTAGATTTCAAGTAGTAGTCGTATCAGTAGAAGCAGCAACGATAGCTGGAGTAGCAGTCGGAGTAGTCGTAGCACCAATAGTTGTGGTAGTAATCGCAATAGCAACCGTAGTCGTAGCCGTAGTCGTAATCATAATAATCATAATAGCAACAGTAGGCGTAGTAGCATGACCAAAGTATAAGTTAAAGTAAGAGTCGCTGGAAATATACAAGTAATAGACGTGGAAGTAGCCACTGTCGTAGCAGTAGTCGAAATAATAGTAGTAGCACTAGTAGATGTAGTGATAGTAGTCGTCGCAATAGTCGTAGTAGTAGTAGTAGTAGTAGTAGTAGTAGTCGTCGTAGTAGTAGTAGTAGGAATAACGGTAGGGGGCCTTAGTAGTAGAACCACTCATGTTAACCTTACTCTGGTTGCCCTAGGGAGCCTCTGGGATTCCTTTGAGTTCCTGGTGGTCTGGGGCTCGTTTGGGCGTCCTT